CATTATATAGTGGCGACCGGCGTCTAGTGTTTGAAAATGTCATGAAATTTAACATATTAAAATATTTCAGTATTTTAATAAATTTTGTTTTTTTTTTCTTATTGATCTTTAAAGCCCAGCGACTATGGCCATTAGCTGATTGTGGGGTTTTATGATTATAGATAGTAGGGTTTGTAATGGTAGGGTTTTTACACGTGTGTGTTGTGTTTGGCAGAATTGTTTGATTGGGCACCCGTAGGTATCTGCCATGCCCGGGTGGGGGATGTTGGCACTTGTTCTCCGGACACCGTGACTTGTCCGAAGAAAAATGCCACCCATGGCCAAGGAATCGAACTCGGGTCGACTGCGCCGCAGCCGACACCTTAGTCCGCTCGGCCACTCCGTCCCCAAAATAAGTTTTATAATTACATATAATTGTCATAAATTATCTCCATAACTGTATGGTACCTGTATGTATAAATAACCTTTGGCATTATACATTTAAAATGGTATTCAACATTTTTAAATATTTTAATGTTTACATGATACAAGTAGGTATACAATATTATACATGTGTATATTATACACTTACATTGTGTTAAAAAAAAAAAATTGGGTTTTTATTTGTGTTAAAAAAAAATTTAAATGTTTCAGGTTTTTGTGAAATATTTCACCATATAGTGAAATATTTCATACTTCAAACACTAACGGCGGCCAATGTCAATAGTATTATAGATTTTTTAAATTTGTAAAATGTTTTAAGTGTTTTACCTTTCTGGTTTTTACAACAATATGCTTACAGAACTTCGTTCTAGATACTTATTAAGTATGTACGAAAACCATGTAACAAACTCTAGTGTATAAATTGATTAGTTCAATAAAGAGGATTTGGTAAATGCAGTGATAACTGCAGCAAAGTTTATAATAATATATACAAAAGTATAATAAAGTAAAGTAAATAAAGTATTACAAAAGTATAATACGTGCCTAAATATAACGTTTTATCACGTAAAAGGAGTGCTCCCTCCAAGTTTCGTACTACCCATATATACTTAATACTTTTATCGCTGTTGTGAGAAATTAAAAATGTTTAAACTTTTTTTTTTGTTAATCTTTAATTGGACTGAGAAGATTTTTATAATTAAACTTCAGTACAATCACCATATAAAAATTAAACCACTTTTCTTTGTATAATAATCAACTATAAAACTATTTAATATTATAATTATATTTTTTTTTTATCTTCTATTTGTATTCTTCTCTCAATTGTTAATTGTACAATTTATTATTAAAATGTTAATGTATAATATATAAATGTAATTCTAATGGCCTTAGTTGTCGAAGCAAAAATGTATAACTTAAAGACCGATAAAAAAAAAATATTATAATTATTAATTACTTAAATATTTTAATAACTATTGTATGCATTAGCTTATGCAATATAATATACAATATTGAATATATTATATATAGATACTAAAAAAACTCAAATGGTAGGTATATACAGGCATACAGCTAATGGTAGTATATCCTAAAACTAAAGCGCTATTATATATTGAAGTACTTGCTGAGATTTTTATGAAGTACCTATAATAGAATGACATAAAAATAATCTTATATTATACCCCACTGTTACTGTAAAATGTTAGATTCTTAGAAATTCTAAAGTGGAACTCGTTCCTTTTTAGCAACTTCCATATTTTTATGGAAACCTTTGAACGAGAACGTAAAAATGGACCCTATATTGATATACTGTTGTACAAACGTACACAAGCTATACATTTACAGTATGGGAATATCCTATTATTCTAGTGAGTTTTACTTGTATCTAAATTCTAAATAGTATTACAATAATAAATTATACACTTACGATGAATAAATAAATACATTATTAGGATATTGAAAAGTAGTAGCGGGGAATCCTCTGGGTATTGGATTAAAATATACTAAAACAGGAGAGTTTTAAGTACCTAGGTAAGTAATCAAACATAAACAATTCCATGAGGATATTTTATTTACGAGATTTTTATTAACACGTCAAAAACATTTTGGTAATATAGTATTTTCAAATGGTTTTTACGAAGAAAAATAAACTATTTATGAAAAACGTATTTGCGAACATCACTGCATTAGATTTGTGTTTTAAGTAAACATTTTAAAATAATTGTGGTTTTCTAAAATGCGGTAGCACATAAATAGTTATTACACTTGAAACCAATTCCAATGAAATATATAGAATATCATTATAATCATATAATAAAAATAAAACGAGACAGATGCACTGAAGAGAAACTATTTTGAAGATGTAAGTAGCAAATAATGTACATAATTAATGTCCAGGATGGACGACTGCACACATTAAATGGAAACTTAATTATTGTTACATATGAAATCGTTTAATTATACTTGTAATTGATAAACTTGGAATAATTATCACTAAAAAATGTTATATTTTACTAAGATTTTAAAACTTTTAACATAAGTAGGTACTACTACAAACACTATTCTTTTCACTTGGTTATATTATGCACTTTATATTGTGCCGTTAACATTTGATGATAGTGTCTGTATTTATAGACGTTACAGTTCGATTGTTTTAAACCACGACTGATTGATGTACATTTACAATTTTCTAGAAAGTATTGTTTAAAACTTTAGAATAACTTCATAACAGTAGGTAAATTTGCTTAGATGAGCTGTAAATAATGAATTAGCACTAATATTTCTACAGTTTATCTAATTAATCTAAAGTAACGTAGGTACCTACATCCAGTAGGTATACCTAATAATTCAATAATATGTTTAATGTTTATTATTCCAACCAATTAAAAATAAATAATTGCTCATTAGTTATTAAAATTAAACATTTTTGGTTTGGCTTTTCTAATCCCTATCTTGCCTTTTTATTAAACATCGTTTCATTTAATTTTTTTACTGAATATTATTAAATTTGTGAATAGTTGGTATATCAGCTAGGTTCGTAATAGGTACTGTTATACATGCATTGAAAAATAGTAGGTACCTAAGTTAATAATCATTAATCATAATTACCTATATGGTATAATTATTTTAATCGTTTAAAATAGGTTAAAAAACTTATTTACAGTCAAAAAGTATACTTTACTATTAAAACTCAAAATTAGAAAAATATTTAGTCAAAATATTTAATTTAATCTATATTGAATTTAGACTACCTACCTATACAAATTAAAATATTCTAGTCGCTTCACATTCGACTATCTCAATGTAATTTTGAATTGTAAATGTATATTAATAATAAAGTAATATAGTATAGTAAATAGTAATAATATAGCAATATAAGGCTATAATAATATTTTTCTTTATGTGAAAGAATTTTAAAATTGTAACATGTAGTCATGTAGGTGTAATATTTTTTTAAATATTTAGTTATTTATTTTATGATAGTATTGCATTTTTTTTTTAGTTACCATGATATAATATCTAGCTATATAATAATATTATATTATATTACATAATATTTAATATCTTCATACTGATTAATTCGATAGTACATAATAACATATCTGATTATTCATGAATCATAATACATTAATAAGTATTTAAATGTTTTATGTTTACTTGTATGTTAATTATATTTTTAAAAATCTTTGACTATTACCCAAGAGTTAAAATTTAGCATGAAATTATAATTTATTGATTAATTGCTAATGTTATAGTATTGAAACTCTATTCCATTGACATACATTCAAATATTAATTTACAATAGTTCTTAAATGTATAATGTAACACAGGCCAATATAATAGGTACCAGAAATTATTTTAAAATTCTACTTAACTTTTAAATTATTAGATTATTTTCATGAACATTTATAATTTTTATTTTTCCTCATAGACGATTAAAACTAAATAATGAATGTATTAAAGTGTCACAGTTTCATAAATCGAAATTTAGACTATCCGGTAAATTTATTTTAGTTGGTATATTATTATTTAAGTGTTTACGTTTTTCAAAAAACAATTATTTTAAATAGTGTAGAGCTTATTTTTTTTTTTAAATGCAACCATAAAATATACTTCAAGTGATTTCGATTATTTTAATTTTAATAAGGTAAATTTTTATATGCTTTAATATTTTTGTTGGGCGTCCGGGAATCGAGCAACTACAATTTTACATTTATAAGAGGTAGACGGGTGATTGGGCCACTATTTAAAACAATTTTTTATTATTGAATCTGGTAAGTAGAAGAACTTAAAGGAAAAGTTCATATTAAAATTAGAAGCGTAGGAACATTAAAAGCCAGAAAACGAACTTTAATTCGATGGAATTTTATTCTTAATGAAATTAAAAAATAAAACCAGAAATTACTTTGGGAAATCTATACCAAATTATTAAAAAAAATAAAATAACTATTTGTATGATTTTATGTACTTACCTAGTTTTATATTTTATATTTAAGCAAAAAATTTTTTTAAAAAAACATCAATATTAATCATTTTTTTATTTATAGAAAAAACAAAACTTACGAACGCACAAGCTATGTACAACAATAATTATTCCATGATAATTAATAATATTGTATAGGTGCATTTATAGCTATTGAATCAAATAGTATTGATAGGTAGTATGGTAAATGTATTGAAGCGATTTTTTAATGTAAAAACGTTGAAATTTACCAATGTTATTTTAAAATATTTTTGCAGTATGATTGGTTTTTTTTTTTTTACTCTTGCGGTATTTTAATAAATGTAGTTACCTATCTATTATTGTAGAACGGTGGCCGGCCGGCAGGGTCAAAGAAGCGCGCTATCACAAGGTGAACGAAAGAAAGAAATATTGAGAAGGAGAGTGATAGTTGATGTTACTAAACGAATTACAAAAAGTGAATGTTTTGCCCGCATCCAAGTTGTCCGTTTCCCAGGTGTATAAGAAGCGTCGTTAACTTTAGCTCATCATCAGTCAGCCGTTCTACCGTGAGTGAACAACTATCAGTTTATTCTAGTGGTGCATTTGTGTTTAGTTTGTGTTCAAAATATCCAGCATGATGAAAACACGCTTTGTAGTGAGTACAAAAATTTATATATTTACAGACGTTCAATTCTTTAGAGTTTATTTTAAAATAAAAAACTTAGATTTTCTACCATCGTTATAAATATTATAAGACATTTTATTTCAAGAATAAAAATTAAACTTACTATTTTTATACTTACTATTTTTTCTATCAAGTAAATCATAATTTTATAAAAATAATAACACTAACGTTTCACAAAAACTAAATATTACTCCGACAATATTAAAATAATGCGTTTATCAGAAGACCAAGTCCGTTCGTGTTTTTACAATATAAAATATCGAATTTGACTTTTATCACTTGAATTATATTCGATACTAGCAAATTTTTATTGACAAAGGTATGTAACTGACGATTATTATGTGTTATTACAGGTGTTGGCGTCGCTTGCGACATTAGCACTGGCAAGACCCGAAGCTGGATACTCTTACAGCGCACCGTCCTCGTCAGGTGGTTACTCGTCCGGAAGCACCGGCCTGAGCTTCTTGGGAGGCGGCGGTGGTTACTCGAGCGGCGGTGGCGGCGGATACGCCAGCGGCAGCTCCGGTTACGCCAGCGGTAGCTCCAGTTACGCCGGCCCGATCAGCTCCGGTGGATACTCCAGCGGCGGCGGTTCCGGCGGATACTCCAGCGGTGGTAGTTCCGGTGGATACTCCAGCGGCGGTGGTTCCGGATACTCCAGCGGCGGTGGTTCTGGATACTCCAGCGGTCCGATCAGCTCCGGATACTCCGGTGGTGGCGGAAGCTCAGGATACTCAGGTGGATCCTCGGGCTACAACTACGCCCCGGCCGCCCCAGTTGTGCAGAAACACATCTACGTGCACGTTCCACCCCCAGAGCAAGAATACGTTGCCCCACAACAAATCCAACAAGTTGCCCCACCCCAGAAACACTACAAAATCATCTTCATCAAGGCCCCAACCCCACCGACCCCGACCGCCCCGATCATACCACAAGTACAACAAGACTCCGAGAAGACCCTGATTTACGTTCTGGTCAAGAAACCCGAAGACCAACCACAAATCTCCATCCCGACAGTGGCACCAACCGCACCATCCAAACCAGAAGTATACTTCATCAAGTACAAGACCCAAAAGGAAGCCGGCGGTTACGCAGCCAGCTCCGGAGGCTCCAGCTACAGCGGACCCACATCGTCAGGTGGCTACAGCGGTGACTCAGTCGGACACTCCGGTGGCTCATCCCTGTCCTCCAGCGGACCCGGTTCCAGCTACGCTAGCCCATCGGCAAGCTACGGATCCCCAAGCGCTGCCAGCCCATCGTCCAGCTACGGATCCCCAAGCGCCAGCCCATCATCCGGTTACGGTGCCCCGAGCTCCAGCGGATCTTACTAGGGTGTTCGATTCAAACGTGATTTTATACAATTGTCGTCCTTGCGCACACGCTTCGCGCCGGTAGCCGCGGAAAACCGTTGATTGTTACTTTTCCACGGTCGGTAAACATTTCGAGAAGCGTGGCCACCCTCCACATACAATTATCCCCCAAACATCCCATCCCCCATCCCTCCTTAATACTACACCCTTATCCCCCATCCCGCTCCTTATCCCTCCAACAAATGCAATTGTAACATATTTTATAATGTCCATGTAAACTATTTTATTTGTGTTTTATATTTTGTTTTTTTTTTTAACGAAAATCGCGATTTTATATTATATTTTTTTTATTATTTTTTATTAGTCTCAAGCTCAATTTTCAAAACGCGTATATACAATATAATGCGCTATCGTAATTTTACTAGCTGACTTTATATTATAGAACACATAATATTGTTGTCATGATTTATATTAATACAAAATATACAATTCAATTTTTTTATAATTCTATTTTTATTTTTCTCGTTTCCGTCATGTATACTCTTATAATAATATATTATGGTTGTTGTACGTTTCCAGCGCCACCAGACACAACGATATTGGAAACACCGATGTAATTAGGTGCCAGCTGTAAGCAACAGGTATATGTATATACTATAAGAAACGCCAACGCATATTGTTTTTAGAACGCAAATAACTGCAATAGTGGTAGGCTATCGGTATCGTAATTTGCATATTTTCTTTCGCTACCTTTTCACAGTCGTATAAAATAATATATATATAGGTACCTATAGCAGCAGAATTGTATATTATAATATAGGTACCTAACTGTAGCTTGTAATAGCTCTGCCGGTTAGATAGGCCGGAAGACGAATCCTTCGAATTCCGATCCAACCCGCTGAGACTTTCGCCCATAGTGCTCTCGAATTATGTATTATTTTTGTTTTAATAACTGTGCGACGGTGGTGGCCGGACCGTGGCGGAGATTCGCGCAATGGAAAAAGCGAAGAAGAAATAATAATAATAACAGTTGCGTTCGCCCCGTAACGATGATGTGGCGATCGCGCGCGGCGACCCGTCGCATATTATTATTATAATCGCGCGTTCGGGTGTCCGATAATGATAAAACAACAAAATACCAGAAATCAAATTAAATACGAAACAACACGAAATTTCATCCAAGCAGCACTTTCGCCCATCACGACCGCCGCACACACCTTTCTCCGCCGCGGAATAAAATAATGCTTATATGCGCGCGTATACACCAGTTCTACCTGTACATTTAATAATAATATCGTAATACATAACAGTGGCGACGCCAGTGACCCCGACCGGTGACCCGTGCTCGTCGTGGGCGAAACAGAGTGAAAATCCGAGATAAATAATAATATGATATATTATTATCATCGTAATATATTATGCCCGTCTCTATATTATATATGTATATTGCCATATACGTATTCAGATACCATCTGAGCTCGTGTGGTACCTGCTTCAGTCGTTATAGTAGTAATAATATTATTATTAGTGTTTCACGGTGACGACCTTCAAGAGAGTCATCTTCAGTCCACGGACCGTCCAGCCGGCCTTCGCGAGAGCTGCGACCCGCAAATGTATACATTTTGTAATAGGAAATTACATGGCATTACACCCTTATTACTAAGTGTGGGTACTGATTTACTGGTGATTTTTCATCGAGCGTCCATCCTGATTTTGACGCTTACGTTTTATTATAAGTAACTATTTGAGCCCTTTAAGGATAGGTTTAAAAAAAAAAAACATATTATTGAAAATATCTTGTTTTTAATTGCTTAGTGTTTTTACCGCGTTTGAAGACTGTCCTGATAAAATTGTTTCGAGAAAACTCCATTTTTTTCTGGCAAATATATTTTTTAACGTTTAGTTTAAAGTGTATAATGCTACCGCATGCCGGATGGACATTTATAATATTATCAACTTGAAACCATTTGCACTATAGTAATATTAATAAAGCTTAAAAAAATTTAGTTTTGTTTTTTAATTGTTTGTTACATGGTAAACCCATCGTACACTTTATAATACAGTATTCAAATATTCAATAGACTATCCTTTCTTCAGTACAATATACATTAGAATAACTCTAAAATTATATTCATTTAAATGTGGTTTGAAATACATCGATATAAAAAAAAATTCATGAACCAACTTAAAAGTTCCCAGTGAAAATTTAATTAGAAAAAAAGGTTTATATCGGTACAGAATAGCCCTTAAATGTCATAAGTTATGTAAGTCTAAGTGTGTGGAAAACTGCAGGGTCTTTCGTCGATTCTTATACAATTAGAATTTTTATAAATACCTACGTAAGTATACGTAACAATGGCGTGAGAATATATTACACTTAAACAGATCATCCAATTATTAGTACGCTAAACAATAATAAATAAAACAACTTGACGTGATCATGTTATTCGTTAAACCTCATAATATAATGTCATGCACATATTATGTAGTGCAATATATATGTGTTTATGTGTGCTATGCGTGGATTGCGTAATGAGCAGCGGTTCTTATAATATTTTGAATTTGCTAGTTGCCTATATAATGTTTGAGTAGGTAACGAAACGCCCACTCGACACGTTTACAAAATACATTAAACGGAAGACCGTCTGCTATACACAATAATAACGTTATGGCTATAATATACTATTGTATAATAATATATAAACCTAAATACATATATAGACTTTTTTTTAGTTTGTAAATTATCTATAATAATCGTACGTAATAGTATTATGTCGATGACCTACGGCGTTGTATTAACATAATAATATTATAACATTATATTATGCCGACAACTTGCAGTACTCAGCTGTAGTTTAGTATAGTATACACATTACATATACAAATTCCGTTTAAATTTGCACGTGTGTACCTTATAACACACCGTTTAATCGATTTCCGGAATAGTACGACTCGATTTAGGTATAGGTCATAATAATTAACCAATAAGTAATTTATTTATAATGTTATATGCACAATATTATAACACGCGTGTTTAAAGATTATGTGAAGTTACACGATCTATATTTTACTTCTGACGTAAAAACGAATGGTTGATGGTGTCGGATCGAAAAACGTACAGACAAATAATCCAACATACCGGTCATTAAAGTTGATACCTTCGTAAAAAAATTACAGTAAGGCACGGATCAGGATATCGATATGCTTAGTTAAAACTTTAAATAAGGATACGAGGTGCATATACCCTATATTATCAGAAATGTAACAATGAATTTTTCAAGTTATGAAAATAACAACATTAATGAAAAAAAATTAAATGTACCTACTAGCTATATTACATTATTACAATGTTACTTATAGACTATAGTATACTAATATTTATATTTTGAAAATGAATAATTTATTATAATTCGTTTGCTATATATCGTAATAGAATATAATATTTTTTACAGTTTTATTATAAGCCTATGGAGGGAGGTGTCTTTCACCTACAACACACATCCTCTCCCTTCGCTATCCCACTGATTATTATATAGTAATAAAAATCACGATAATTCCAAATCTTGTCATTACTTTGACAAATAGTGTCACGAATATATTGTGTACAAGACGTTTTCATATTCGTAATTTGATTTTTTCTTGTAAATAGTTTTGAACCACGATTTTGGACATTCATTAAAACTGTATTAGAGAGCCATGACTGTTGGTAATATAACTTATTTGACATCTTTTTATTTTGCTTCTATTTGAAATAACAATAATAAAACAACCTGATAATATTTGTTGTACCCAATATTAAATAAAAGGGTATTTTAGTATATGGAGAGTTATTCAATTGAGTCCCAGAATTATAATAATTATAGAAGTGGCTTAATTGAGTCCGACAAAAGCATAAATCAAATAGTTAATATTGGATTTTTCTATTGTTATCTTACCTAAGTGACGTATACTACTAAAATTATGAAATAAATACATTGTATAGGATGAGATGAAGTATAATTAATATAAATCAGTAGCATATATATATCGCCGGTACTCTACTGCTCTGTAGAGATATTTTTAAAATTTTTTTTTCGGATTTAATAATTGTACTATATCTACCTATTTTTCTTACCAAATTAAGTGCATACGTATGGGTCGATTATGGGACTCAACTGTAATGCGTCCTTATAGTTGGTGGGCATGCGGGGACGAGGATACACACGACGAAACAACATACTGTATAATGTTAGACATTGTTAGTGTATACAGGTATACCGTATATGATACATAATAATATTATATGCGCCGAAAGCAGTCGTTTTTCTCTTGCTGCCGCGATTAAACACAAAATGTGCATCGTATTATTATTTTCTCTCCAATGACTGTACATCTTATATAACAGCTGCAGGTTAACTAGATACGAATCGTTGAACCTCCTAGGAATATAGGAATATACAATACGTATAGACTATAATATTATCTATGTATAATATTATAAAACTCACCTATAAAAGGCCAATGACATCGCCATTGATGTTATACTGCAGTGACATGAACAGTGGACACGATTGTTTTTAATACCTTTTACCCATATCCGTAACTAATTCTAACTGATTATTTATTTATTTTCAAGAATGCAATAATAGAGGCTGTGCAATTTTTTTTTTTTTCAAATAAACATTTTATATTTGATGTATTTTTAGTAAGATATCCAACGGATCTACTAAAAACATAAAACTGTGTTAATCGTCATAATAATATTGGTACGTATATGTACATGCGATATACATTATGCATTTCATGATTTTAGATTATTTGTAATAATATTTTGTTCGACTATAGGGGGCAAGATTATCTAATTATACTATGCGGGTTAAATACTTTAGTTATTGCCTATTGGTCATACGATATACATAATACGAGCTTACAGCTCAGTTGGTATACATAGAAGCTATTATTAATGAAGTTTATTGTACCTAATTAAGTACTTAAGTAATTGTAACTGATTTGGATAAAATATATAAATAAATAATAAAATA